CGGCTTCTCGTTCGGCGACGGATGCTTGCCGTCCGACACATCGGTCAACCTGTTCGGCGGCGTCAAGGTCAAGAACGACAAGCCAAGAACGGGAGCGTACTGAGATGAAAACTTTCAAGGTACTCTCCGCGCTCCTGGCTTATCCGACGGATGAGTTGGTTGCTGCCCGCAGCGAGTTGATCTCCGTTCTGGAGGATGAAGGCCTTGTCACTGGCGATCCGCTGGAAGGTCTTGAAGCGTTGATCGACGAGATTGCACATGACGACCTGTTTGAAGCGCAGGAGCGATATATCCAGCTGTTTGACCGGACACGCGCACTTTCCCTACACCTTTTCGAGCACGTGCATGGCGAGAGCCGGGATCGCGGTCAGGCGATGGTCGACCTGATCCGCGTCTATGAGGATCACGGCTTCACGCCGACGATCAAGGAATTGCCCGATTTCACGCCGCTGTTCCTTGAGTATGCATCCCTGCTGCCCCTCAACGAGGCGGTTGCCCTCGTGGCTCAGCCCGCCCATGTGTTTGCGGCAATCCGCGAACGTCTGGTCAAACGCGGCTCAAGCTATGCCGCATTGTTTTCGGCACTCGGGCAGATCGGTGCCGTCAAACCGGACAGCGAACTGGTCGCCAAGCTGATGAAGGAACCGGATCCCGAACCGGATGACCTGGAAGCGCTGGATGCCGCCTGGCAGGAAGAGGAAGTCCTCTTTGGACCGGGTGCCGCCGCTGCGGATTGCGGCATCGACAGTCTCGCCGCAAAACTGCGTCAAGTGCGCCGTCCTGCGCCCGGAATGCCGCTGCCTGCGGCCGACGCCAACAAACCCGTTATCACCCATTCCGGCACAACCATTCAACAGGGAGCTTGAGCCATGCGCGACTCCATTTTCCATATCCTCTTCGTTTGGTATCCCTATGTGGCGATGTCCTCGTTCATTTTCGGGAGCCTGATCCGGTTTGATCGTGAACAGTACACATGGAAAGCCTCTTCCTCGCAACTTCTGCGCAAGAAGCAGCTGTTCTGGGGCTCTAACCTGTTCCATTTCGGTATCTTGTTCCTGCTGATGGGGCATACAGTAGGGCTTCTGACACCGACATCGCTCTACACGCTTTTCATCTCGGTCCAGCAAAAGCAGATGATTGCTGTCACTGCAGGCGGCATTGCCGGCATGATCTGTTTCATCGGCCTGACCTTGCTGTTGCATCGCCGTCTATTTGACAGCCGCATCCGCCAGACATCCACCTATATGGACCTTTCAATCCTGATTATCCTGTGGGTGCAACTGAGCATCGGCCTGATTACCTTACCCTATTCATTCGGTCATGATGACGGTGAAGTCATGCT